GAAGGGAAAATAGGGTGAGGAAGATTGAAAAAGAGTTTTGAAAAATATTCAAGAAGAGCTCTTGCAATTTCTAAGAGATGTTTATGCTTCCTCTCTACCACTCCATTCTGTTGAGGAGTGTGAGGACAGGTGGTTTGATGCACTATCCCTTTGGAAGAAAAAAATTGATGGCAAGAACAACTAGAATCCAATTCCAAAGCAGTATCACTCCTAACTTTTTAAACTTTAGAATTAAAGTGTGTTTCAACCATAGCAATAAAGTCTTTTATCATGTTAAAGGCGTTATTTTTGGATCCCAGCAAATGTGTCCAGGTTGCCCTAGAGTAGTCATCAACTATTGTCATAAAGTACTTGGAGCCAGTATAGGTTGGTGTATGGTAGGGTCCCCAAGTATCAATAAGTATAAGTTGGAAAAGGTGAGTAGACTGAATGGAGCTTTCAGGGAAAGGCAATCTAGCCTGTCTTGTTAGAGGACATACTGGGTAGGTGAAGGATTGTTTAGGAGAAAATTTGCAAGTAATAGTAGAAATAAGTCTCAATTTTGAAAAGGGAATGTATCCAAGTCTATAATGCCACACAATTTCATCTTTATTCACTTTAGAAGAAACATCAATGGTGTTTACCATTGTACTATCGGCATTAACATCAGCAAAGACTGCAGGATCAGAAGAAGAAATGGAAAAACAAGAATTAAAGGAAACAGAACTAGTATAAGGTGGAGAATTGACTTGTTGAAACAACTTGTAGAGGCCATTGTCCAACCTACCAAGAACCAATGGCTTCTTCACTGAAGGGCCCTGTAGAGTACAAGCATTCTTGGTAAATGGAACAACATCATCACAATGAGATAACAACTTGTACACTGAGATGATATTGTGTTGAAAACTAGGAATATAATGAACATTATAGAGAATTAGATCAGAAAATAGGGATAAAGAATCAACATTAGTAACTTTGACCTTATATCCATTTGGTAAGGAAACAAGATAAGGGACAGGTAATGTTTGAATATCAAAGAGCAGACTTTTAACAGAGGTCATATGGTCTGTAGCTCAAGAAGCCATTATCCAGATAATGCCATTTACTTTAGACAACACATAAGCCCCATAGGAAACCTCTTTATAAGGTAAGAGCTTACCAGCCAAATTGGCAGAACCCATGAGTTCCAGAGATGTAGCAGAGTTGGAAGCAAAGATTTGTGAGTGTTGAAGCAGCATTATCAGCTAAGAATATTGTTCTTTGGTGAGTCCTGAGATGGCAGAGGTCTGATCACCAAACATAGCACAAACACCAGTACCACCAAACCCATCAGTAGTACCAGAATCACCATGAGCAGGTGGATTATTAGGTTTAGTAGTCTCAACATGACCAGTAGTTCTGCGAGGAGGAGGAGATCTTTTGTTGAACTTGAAGTTGGGAGAAAAACCATGTAGTTTATAGCACTTTCTAAGGTGTGCCCAGGCTTCTTGCAATACTTTCAAGTGACAATAGATCTAGGAGTTTCAAAGGAAACCTTGGAAGGGAAAGGTGGTTTAGATATTGCAGCATTGAATGAAGCAGAAGTAGTTGAAATATGAGATGTAGAGGAAACTTGTCTCTGCTTTTCAACAGATAAAAGGATTCTATAGGTGTTCCCAATAGAAGGGAGAGGCTTCTTCATCAAGATATTTCTCCTAATTTGCATATAAGTGTCATTGAGGCCCATGAGGAATTGATATACTTTTTGTTCCTCATCTTCATTAGCCTTACCCCCACAAGTACAAACCCTCACTCGATAAGATGCTATCTCATCCCACAATTGCTTAATTTTGTTAAAGTAAGATGCTATGTCTAAGGAACCCTGAGAAATGCGAGCTAATTTCTTTTTAAGTTTAAATACCCTAGCACCATCTGCCTTTCCATATCTCTCTTCTAATTCTGACCATATATCCTTAGCATATTCATAATACTTTACACTTCGAGATATTTTCTTAGACAAAGAATTTTTCAATCAGGAGACAACCAAATCATTGCATCGCTGCCATTGTCTGACAAGAGGAGAACCATCTGGAGGTCTCACAAAATTCCCATTGATAAAATCAAGTTTGTTCCTAATCGACAAGACAACTAGGACATTCCTTCTCCAACTACCATAACCACTTCCATCAAACTGAGTAGAAACAAGAGAAGTTCCTAACACATCTGATGGATGAACACACAGAGGATGGAAAGGGTGAGTATAGTCATCCTTGTGAAATATTGTGCGAGAAACAGGAGGCTCACGAGGGACATTAGAAGGTACGTGAGTAGGTACATGTGTAGAAGATACAGAACTCTTGTTTGGCATTTTTAAAGCAAGTGAATGAAAATCAACAGAAAAAAAGGCATGCAAGAAGATTTGTGAGAATGAACGAGATTACCCTCTGTTTTGCAACCGAAAAGAGAACCTTCAAAATTGACCACAGATTTACCAATCGAAACTCCGAGGAAAACCTAGCTGGATAGAAAACCCCTAATTTGAGAAGAATCCACGAAATCCTCCAAAATTAGTGTTTTGCTTCTCAGAACCAAACCACAAAAAGCCTTAGTATATAGAAATCGGAAGAAACATGCCGAATTTAGCAGAAACCCTAAATAAAAATCGCAGATATAGGAAACACTATCGCGATTGGAAAATGTTGACTACACTCATCAAGGGTAGGATCGATCGAAAGTGGGGAGAGAGATTCACTGGAATCTATGCTCTGATACTATGTAAATATGTAGAAATCATGTAAAATCAGAAGAATGAAATTTAGGTTTCATGTTTAGTTTGAGAGGAAACTTCGAGATCCTTTCTATACCAGAAGAGAAAAATAAAATGTTCTGTACAATTGAAGACTGGGCCCAATGTATTTATATGACCCGGAACTTAATACTCTATAATACTCTAAATTGGGCTATCCAGATAGGTTACATGTAGCGACCCGGTCAGTCGTTTTGAGTATTATAGCCCATTCCCCTATTTACTGCTCAACTTATGCTTTACGATTATTTTATGACTTACCGGATTAGTTGGATAGGGTACGGAAGGATTCCGGAGTGAAATGAGACACTTAGTCTCGAAATTAAAAACTTAAGTTGTAAAAGTTAATCGGATGTTGATTTATGTGTAAATGACCTCGGATTTGAATTCTGATAATTCCAGTAGCTCCGTATGGTGATTTGGACTAAAGAGCGCATCCGAAAAATTATTTGGAGGTCCGTAGTGGAATTAGGCTTGAAATGGCGAAAGTTGAATTTTGGAAAATTTGACCGAGGGGTTGACTTTTTGATATTGGGGTCGAAATCTGATTCTGGAAATTGGAATAGGTCCGTAATGTGAAATGTGACTTGTGTGCAAAATTTGAAGTCATTCCGGATTGATTTGATGTGTTTCGACACAAGATATAGAATTTGAAAGTTCATAAATTTTGATTTGAGGTGCGATTCATCATTTTGATATTGTTTGATGTGATTTGAGGCCTCGAGTAGGTCCGTGGTATGTTTTAGGACTTGTTAGTGTATTTGGTTGAGGTCCCGGGGGCCTCTGGTGAGTTTCGGACAAGGTTCGGATCAATTTCGTATCATATTGCATTGTTGAAGGCTGCTGGCTCTTGTGTTTCCGCATCTGTGGAAGAATGAACATAGATGTGAGTCCGCAAATGGATAATTGGTCGCAGAAGCGAAGGAAGGCTGAGCTGGAATTGATCGCAGAAGCGAGAACTTGGGGCGCATCTACGGCCCCGCACAAGCAAAGGTCTTGGGCGCAGAAGCAAGTTTTTGCGCAGGTGCGGCATTGTTCCCGCAAAAGCAGTTGCGTAGGAGCGAGCCCAGGCTCCACAGGTGCGAAAAGCATGGACAAAACCCTTTAAGTTCGGGGTTTCGCTATTTTTCACAATTTTCGGATTTTGGAGCTCGGTTTGGGCAATTTTGGAGAGGAAGTTTTCCACACAACTTTGGGTAAGTGTTCTTGACTCCATTGTGATTGTATTCCATGAATTAATCTTCGTTTTCGGCGTTAGAATATTGATGTTTCGAGAGAAATCAGAGGAATTTTCTACAATTTCATAAAATAAATTTTCGAGATTTGAATACCGATTCGGAGTCTGATTTGAGTGAAATTAATATGGTTGAACTTGTAATTGGATAAGTTGTCGGATTGTTTTGTGAGTTTCGTCGGATTCCGAGACGTGGGCCCCACGAATAATTTTTAGAGTGTAATTTCGGATTTTGTGGGAAAATATTGGTATTTTGATATGGAATTAATTCCTATAAATTGTGTGGACTGAATCAAATTTATTGTGGCTAGATTCGAGTCGTTAAGAAGTTGATACGCGCAGAATGAAATTTTTGGAGCATTGTTTAGCTTGCTCGATATTGGATTCGGCTTGTTCGAGGTAAGTAACTCTTCTAATCTTGGAGCTGAGGGTATGAACCCTGAATATATGTATTATGTAAATTGTTGGGAGGTGACGCACATGCTAGGTGACAGGCGTGTGGGTGTGCACCATAGAAATTGTGACGTAATTGGTTCCATGGAATTTTGTATTCACAATCTTGGCATTTTCTATGTAGTTTTATGTGTTAAAGAAATTAAGCTGAGAATCATATTAAAATCATGTTGAGGCTATGTGCCAGTATTATTGAGACCCACAGAGGTCATATTGCTGTGAACTATTTGTTTAAATTAAAATTTCATACTTAGTCATATACATTTCAATGCATATCATATCTCAGTCTCTGTTGTTATTTATTGATACATCATATCATCATTTTTGGTCTAGTTTCATGACATTGTGAGCCCGTGAGAGAGAGACTAGAGAGATGGATGACTGAGTGAGGCCGAGTGCCTGATTGATTCTGATATTGTTACTATGGCATGTGAGTTGTCCGTGCGGATTATAGCGCTTGGGCTGAAGGAGCCCCTCGGAGTCTGCACACACCCCCAGTGAGCGCAGTTGATATTATTGAGGGATTGATCTTCCCTGGACATGGATCTTGTCCGAAGTATTATATACCTAGATATGGATCTTCACCACGGGCTGATTTGGCCCTACTTGGTACTTAGTGACTGATGATCAATTGATGTGTATATTCCGGGATGGATCTTCCCTGGTCCGGATTGGCTATATACAGTGCCGAGTGATTGGGCATGATGAGTGAAATGTGTGAGAAAGTGAGATTGAGTACTCTGAGAGTGTGAGTACATGAGTTCATCTCTGAGATACATTGCATTGACATGCACACATGACATACATGCATAGAGATGTATTTTTCTCATGCCGTACAGTATCACATCATTCATGATTTCTCACATATGTTGACAGATGGGCATAGTAATGCATTTGTTTTACACGGGTTATGGAAAGAAAATGAAACATCTCATTTATTATTGAAAGGACTATGGGAAAATTATTGTTTTCAAACTTATTCATATTTTTGGAAACTTCGGTAAACGATTTATGTTTTCACTAATGTACTTGAAAGGAAAAACTATTTTTAGAAATCATGATTTAGCTGAGCATTTTATCTCTGAGTTACTTCTTGTATTATTTGTTCTACGTTGTTATGGACTGTTGTGGACTAGTGGTTTTGGACTCGACCTTGGTAAAAGCTCGTCACTACTTTCAACCTAAGGTTAGGTTTGTTACTTATTGAGTACATGGGGTCGGTTGTACTCATACTACACTTCTGCACCTTGCGTATAGATGTTGGCTACTGATGTTGCTGTGTTCATTGGGAGCTGGATCTGAAGATATACCTGCGTTCTGGTGGTAGCTGCCTCTTCTTCATGGTAGCCTCAGATTTATAAAAATCTGTTCATGTACATTTCAAACAGATGATGTATTATTTCATACCAGTTTTGTAAATTCTATTCTTAGAAGCTCATGATTTGTACTACCAGTTCTTGGGGAATGTATAAGATTAAGATTTTTCTTTACTTAAATTGATTTAATAATTGTTATTGGAGATGGATAGTTGATAATTGGCTTATCTAGCGGGTTGAGTTAGGTGCCATCACAACTAGTTGGATTTTGGGTCGTGACAAGGTAGTATCACCTATAATTGTTACAACTCTGGATATCACCTTTGTTCTTATACAATGGAACCACCGTACTCCACCTCCACTCATCCAGCATCCTTTTCCCCTTAAAAATAATATTAAACAACCTAGTCAACCACTCCAAACCTGCTCTCCCCACACACTTCCAAAATTCCACCGGAATCTCATCTGGCCCGGTCGCTCTGCCCCTACTCATCTTACGCATAGCTCCCACGACCTCCTCAACCTCGATACGCCTGCAGTACCAAAAGTCACGGTGACTCTCGGAATGCTCCAATTCGTCTAGCACAATATCCTGATCCCCTTCTTCATTCAGAAGTTTATGAAAGTAAGTCTGCCATATCCTCTTAATCCGGGCATCTTCCATCAATACTCTACCATCTTTGTCCTTGATGCATCTCACTTGGTCAAAATCCCGAGCCTTCCTCTCTCTCAACTTGGCCAGCCGGAATAACTTCTTCTCCCCACCTGTTTCCCTCAATTACTCGTACATACGACCATAAGCCGCAGTCTTAGCCTCTGTGACCGCCAGCTTAGCCTCCTTCCTAGCTTCCTTATACCTCTCCATGCACACTCGCCTCTCCTCCTCACCTATTCTCCCCACTAACTTCAGGTACGCCACCTTCTTTGCTTCCACTTTACCTTGGACCACTTCATTCCACCACCAGTCTCCTTTGTGCCCACCAGAGACGCCCATTGAGACCCCTAACACCTCTCTCGCAGCCTCCCTATTACAGTCTGCTGTTGCTGACCACATAGTGCTCGCGTCACCACTGCTCCTCCAAGATCCCATAGCCGATAACCACCCCTCTAACGCTTGGGCTTTATCCTTAGTTAAGGCTCCCCAAATGAAATTTCAATTTCCTTTCTTTCCTCTTTTCAATATATTTCATAAACAGTTTTCACAACACATAATGAACACTCATACCGGCAGGGCATATAATTCATAAAAATTGAAATCAATTATTCCAAAACACATTAAACCCACTATAATGAATAATAAAAAATACTTTTGGACTTATAGCCCTCAATGGTGTACAAAAATAAAATGACAGACACGGGCTCACATCTTCAAATCTCCCAACTGGGATAAACATATAAGTGGGTCACAAAATTTACGAAGCTCACCCATAAGCAGAGCATAATAGGAGGACTCACCTCAATATTCAGAACCGAATCAAATTAAAGGAAAATATCCTTTTATAACAGAATCAGGATTGCACCTGTAATGACACCATCTGGTGTATTGGCTTCTGCCAAAT